AGGGCAGCCCCAGCTGCTCACTGTGGATCCTGGGATGGGATCTGCACGTCCAGGGGAGGGAGGACCATCCCAGGGCAGCCCCAGCTGCTCACTGTGGATCCTGGGATGGGATTTGCACGTCCAGGGGAGGGAGGAACATCCCAGGGCAGCCCCAGCTCCAGGGGGGGGGTTGTGCCAAGGAGATCTGGAGACACAGGGGCACCTCAGGCCCTGAATCTCCCCTGGATCCCCTCTCCCCTCTGACCTGTTCCCCATTCCCAGCTGTGCCGGGCTGGGAAGCCCCCAGGGCTGCCTGGAGAGCATCCCGGACTGGAGCGACTTCGGCGTGGACGACGCGCACTCGGAGAGCCCGGAGGAGCCCCCGGGATCGGGGCAGGACCCGCAGTGACAGCCCTGGGGACACCCCCTGCCTTCCCAGGACCTGTTCCCTCGCTGGGAGAGGGGGCACTGTGGGAGCAGGGGGGTGACTGGGCTGCCCTGGGAACACGGCTCATCCCGGGCTCTCTCCCTGCTGATCCCGGCTGTCCCGGTGTCCCAGGCAGGGTTTGCATCCCGGAGAAGGGATCTGCTGGGGGGTGGAACCTGTGTTTGTTGTTCCCACGGCCTTTGCCCTCTGGCTGGAGCAGCAGCAGGGCTCAGTGGGGTGGCAGTGCCACCTCCCTGCTCCTGGCACATCCCAGGGCAGGGTGGGATCCGCTGCCCGATGGGAAAAGGGCTTTCCTTGGTGGATCCAGGGCCAGCCACTCTCTCCAGTTTAGTCCCCCTCCCTCTGCAGCTCCTGGGGAGGGGAGAGGGGGCTCAGCTGCACCAACCCAGAGCCCACACCCGGGCTGCAGATCCCACCCCCACCCCCGGGGCCTCCTGGCACAGCTTTCCCTCCCTGCGGGTTGGTTTCTGCAGCTGGAAAAACGGGAGCTGAGCTTTCCCCCGGGCAGGGAATGAGTCGGGGGGGGGAGCAGTTTGTCACCCCTGCCCTGGGAGGGGGTGTCCCTTCCAAGTGGGCTTGGATTTGCTGGGATAAGAAGGAGCTGCTCCTGCTGCCCCTCCCCGTGTGGTCCTGCCCCGTCTCCTCCCCGGCCCAGCCCCGGGTCAGGCAGGGCTGGGACGTGCTCGGACTCCAAATAAAACCGAAGCAGGAGAAGCTGCCGTGTCCGGCTGGGTGGTGTGGGAGGGGGCCGGGCCGGGAGAACTGCGGAGACAGGGATTTTGGGAAAACGGGGAGGGGAGGATGTAACCTTCCCCACACCAGCAACGCCAGCGCGGCTCCCCCTGCCCCGGGCACCGGGCGGGTCCCTCCCGGGGGGGCACGGATGAGGGTCTGCCCTGAGTTCTGGAGGGTTTTTGGATGCACCAGGGAGGGGGAGGGAGGGAGGGAGGGAGGGCTGGAAAGCCCTTGGAGGCGCATCCGAAATGTCAGGAGAAGTTCACGGCCAAGGCTGGCAGCTGCCGGGGCGCGGGAGCGCCGCTGCCATTGGCTGCCCCCCCCTCATGCATATTCATCCATATTCATGAGCGTGCGGCTCCAAATGGCGCAGCTGTGAGCCCAGCTGTGCCCGCGGCCCCTCTCCGTGCCCACCGACCCTTCCCATGCCCACTGATCTTCTCCGTGCCCACCGACCCCTCCCCATGCCAACCGACCCCTTCCCCGTGCCCACTGACCCTCCCTGTGCCCACCGACCCTCTCTGAGCCCACCGACCCTTCCCCGTGCCACCGACCCCTCTCTGTGCCCACCAACCCCTCTCCTTGCCCACTGACCCCTCCCTGTGCCAACCAGCCCTCCCCGTGCCCACCAACGCTTCCCATACCCACCAACCCCTCCCCATGCCCACCAACCCCTCCCCATGCCCACCAATCCCTTCCCGTGCCCACCGACCCCGCTCCTCGCCTGGCACAGCCTCCCTCAGGCACGACCCCCTCAGCCCAAGCCGTGCCCTGCCCCCGGCTCCCTCCCAGCCCCTGGTTTGCTCCAGGACCGTGTCCTGGCACTGCCAGGAGCCACCCGGCCCTGGGGCTGCTCCTTCCCGAGGCGGGTCTGGGAAGGGCAGCCCGTGGAGCTGCTGCAGCGAGGGCTCCATTCCTTCTCCAGCCCCTCTCCATCCCTTCTCCATCCCCTCTCCATCCCTTCTCCAGCCCCTCTCCATCCCTTCTGCCTCTCTCTTCCCCCGGGGCCACAGCCCTGTTCCTGGCCGCCTTTCAGGGATTATTTTTAGTGCCAGTGATCGGCTTTTGCGGAGCTGTCGGGAAAACGGTGACTCAGGGGCGGCCCAGGCTGGGGGGGGCAGCAGCCCCTGGGCTGGGGGGTCCCACCTGGGGGGCAGTGGCTCTTTGGGGGGGGGTGACTGTTCCCTCTGCCACATGTAGGGCGGGCTCAGCCCCTCGTGCCAGGGATTGGGGTGGCTGGAGCCAGCCTTGGAATGCTGGGGGGCTCAGGGCACACGGAGCTGCCCAAGGTAACCTTCCCCACCTGGGGCAGGTGAGGGTGGTGTGGCCCCCTCCCTGTGCCCTCAATAGCCTGGCACAGCTCCCTTCTCCCTGGCTGCTGCCAGAGGAGCAGCCTGGAATGGGGCCAGGCTCTCCAGCCAGCACATCCTTATCCCCTGGGAAAGCAGCTCCTTCCCGTCTGTCCTTCCCCCTCCTCGACACCCCGTGCCAGGGGGCTCCTGCTCCAACCTGGGGCCAAAGCATCCTGCTTCCATCTCTCTCTCCTCTCCCATCTTCCCAGCAGAGCACGAAGGTCTCTGGAGCCCGGGATGAGGCCGTGGATTTGGGATCAGGCTCCTGAGGCTGTTTCTCACACGCTGGGCTGGGGCAGACACATCCAGGCAGCCCCAGGCCCTGATCCTGTTTGCTCCACAGCATCCCCCTGCAAAAAACATCCATTCCCTCCTGCCAGGATCCCAGAGGGCCCCCGGGAATGCTGCTGGAGAGATGGACTCAGGCCCTGCAGCCCCTCAGAACCAGCTGCTCCTTGTGAGATGTGTCTCGAATGGAGACAGCGAGGGCAGAGCAGAGGGGGAATTGCAGAGGGGGAATTTCCCTGCTCAGGGTCACCCATGCTGTGGAGAAACGGGGCTGGAAGAGCTGCTTGGGAATGCCAGAGGGATTTAAGCCGAGCTCTTGGCACCCCAAAGCCCACACACACACATGGTGGAGGTTTATTCCCCACTGTGAGCAAAGCCTTGGGATGAGGCAGCGGGTGCCAGGATGGGGCTGGTGAGCATCCCATGGGATGGGGACACCCAGACCCCAGGGAGCATCCCATGGGATGGTGACACAGACCCCCATGAGCATCCCATGGGATGGGGACACAGACCCCGGGGAGCATCCCATGGGATGAGGACACACAGACCCCCAAGAGCATCCCATGGGATGGTGACACAGAGACCCCCATGAGCATCCCATGGGATGGGGACACAGACCCGGGGGAGCATCCCATGGGATGGGGACACAGACCCGGGGGAGCATCCCATGGGATGGTGACACAGACCCCGGGGAGCATCCCGGTCTCGGCCGCATCCTCAGCATCCCGTGGGATCCCCCCCCTCGTTGTGCCTGGCTCCAAACATCTGCCTGGCTCCAAACATCTGCCCGGCTGTGCCCTGGAGCTGCCCCTTGGGCTCACCCCCGTGCCGGGAGGGGGTCCGGGGGGGCTGCCCCGCACGGCCCGGGGAGGGTTTGGGCACCTCCCCTAAAGGCTGCGGGGAGCGGGGCCCTACCACCATCTAGTGGCCCTTCAGCCAAGTGCGGGAGGAGGAGGAGGAGGAGGAGGAAGAGGAGGAGGAAGGGGAGGATGCACCGGGCTCAGCCGAGGGCTCGGCCAGGCCCGGGGGGCTCTGGGGGTGCTCAGAGCTGGGGAAGGTGGGGGGGAGGTGGACCCGGGGGACACTTCCCACTCCCTGCTCCGGCTCCACGAGGTCTGGAGTGGCCAAGAACGGAGAGGAAAACGCCTTTATTGCGGGGTGCCAACCCCCCCCCGGACCCCCAGGAGGGCACCCCCGGGCACCGCGGGGGTCTCTTCGTGCCAGGGGTGCTCACGGCAGGGCGGGCTGCTGGTGGGAACTGGTGTCACTGGTGTCTCAGCACGGCCAGGGAGAGAGGAGTGCCTGGGTTTGGGGATGGGGAGAGAGACACGGGTGATGGTGGGGAAGGGGACAGCGAGGCTGGCACTGCCACGGGCACAGAGGGACAAGGAGGTGGCAGCACTCCAGACCCCTCCTTCCCAGCCCTGCCCCGTGCCTCGGTTTCCACAAGGGAACGGCTCCATTGTGGGTTTTTGGGAGGAAAACTCTCCGTGTGCGGCGCTTGGTGTGGGGGTTGGTGGCACAGTGACAGCTCTTGGCGGCCCTGGGGGCTGCCGTGGCTTCACCACGTCCCTCCCATGGAATCTGGGGGGCACTGGGCAGGGTGGCACTGCCCCTGAACTGCCACCGTGGCTCCTGGTCTCGCCTGTTCCCGGGTAAAACGGGAGACCAGGAGATGGAGCCAGAGGCAGTCAGTCCTCGGGGATGCCGGGACACCCCAGGGGATGGAGCTGCCTCCACATCACCCACCTCCAGGCCCCATTCCCACCCACCTCCAGGCCCCATTCCCGGCAGGAACACACCCCAGGTGCCCCCTCTCCTCTCACCTGGGGTGTCACTGTCCCTCCTCACCGCTCCTCCAGCTCGTAGGCGGCCTCCAGGTAATCCCTGGGCACGATCCCGACCTCGTCGTTGAGCTCTCCCACCCACCAGCCGTACATGTCGTATTCCTGGGGGGACACGGGCAGGGAACGTGGCTCAGGGCCCTTCCTTTGGCTCTCCAGCCCCCCCCCAGACTCCAACAGAAAACCCCCCAGTCCCACCTCTCCCCCAGTAAATCCTTCCCTGCCCTTCCTGTCCCCCCTCCCTCGTCCTGCCCCCTTCGCTCTGGGGCCTCTCAGAAACTCAACATTTAATTCACACCCCGGTATTTTGGGGGTGTTTAATTTCAAACATCAACCCCCCAGGGAGGCCCAGCCCTCAGGCTTGGAGCTCCAGAAGCCCCTCCAGCTGGATCATGCCTGGATAATCCATTCCCTCCCCAGATTTAGGTGGGATTTCCCCCCCCCCTCCCCAACAGGGAAATAACAACAGGGAAAACTTTCCTCCCTCCGCGTGTGCAAGAGGAGGAGTTTGCACGCACGGGTTCGAGGAGTTTGGCATCAAAACAGGTGAGCTTTAAAAAAACTGGATGTTAAATTCAGACGTTCCCGGCAGCACATCCCATTCCCTGCCCCACGCTCCCGGCTCCGGCTGTTCCCTCACTGCCTGGCTGGGGACATTTAATGTTGTCCCCCAAGCCCATCCCTGCTTCCTGACATTTAATGTTGTCCCCCAAGCTCATCTCTGCTTCCCGACGGGAGGAGAAGGGCTGAGTCACCCAGACAGACACTCTGCAGATGGTGCTGCCCTCGCCAGAGCCAGGAAGGGGTGCCAGGAATCCTGACCCTCTCCGGGTCGGGATCCCAACGCTCCCCGGGGACCCCCCCACTGCAGCAAACAGCACCGAGCTGGATGGGAAGGGCTGGGGAGGGACAGCGGGATGGAAGGCTGGGAGAACACATCCCACCAGCCAGGAGGGAAAAAAAAATCCTCCCGCCAGAAGGAAAAAATCCGGGTTTATTCGTATCCCGGACACCCACCCGGGCACGACCAGGACGCCGTGCCCGCCCCCCTCCCTCAGCAATTCCGCGGCTGGAACGCCGCGAGAGGTGTTTTAAAATAATTTCTGCTTTGACGGATCGCCGGATAACCCAACGATCGCTCATAATCAAAGGGAGGGAGATGCAAATGAAGCGGCAGCCGAGCCCGAGCCGTTTATTCCGCCGCGCGCCGGTGCCAAAAAGAATTAAAACAACATTAAACTCCCGGCAATAACGTTTAAGTCCTCGTTTCCAAGTGCCAAATTGCGCCACTCTGGATCATACAGATGTTCGTTAATTATGCTAATTTTTATTAAACTATTAAAACGAGGAGAGCACTGGCACAGCGAGGCAGAGCCCAGCGCAGGGCGAACTCTGCTCTGTCTGGAGACGCTCGTTTCCATCTCGCCGACGCCTCTCGCCGGCTTCGGGGAGGGGGAGAGGGGGAGGAGGGAGTCTGAGGATGGGGTTTTGCTGGAATCTACCTAATTACACGCTAATGGGGCCTCTGTGCTCGGTACCTGCCCGGGCTGCGCTGCAGGAGGGGGGAGGGAAGTAATTTAGCCGAGACTTCAGGGAAGGGACTGGGAAGAAGCCGCTGATCGGGAGGGGAATCGCTCCAGGGAGGAGGGAGAGGGGAGGGGGATCTCTGCCCCCTCCGCTGCTCTGGGTGCTGCCTGCGGGTGGGTGTTGGGGTGCCAGGAGCCCCTGGGAACCCCAGCTGGGCATCGGGCAGGAGACAGAGCACAGCCAGTGCTCTGCCCCAGCCCCAAACTGGGAATCCGGTGCCCTTCCCGTGCTGGCAAAGAACGGGGGACTGGGTTTGGGGGTCACCACCCTCTGCATAGCCATGGGGGGCTCGCTCTGCCCCCGAAACGCTGGGATTTCTCCCAGGAAAGAAGAAACCCCTCCCCACCCTCCCAAAGCACTTCTCCAAGAGTCATTCCCGAAATCCCTGGTGCTGAACGGAGCCGGAGCAGACGCCGGCTGGGATCATCACCCGGGATCATCACCGGCCATCAGGGCTTTTGGGGGAGGATTTGGGATCATCACCCACCATTAGGGCTTTTGGAGGGGGGGGGGGTTGGTGCACGGGGCCGTAAAAAGCCTCGAGCTGCTCATTCCATGGACGAGGGAGAGGGAAAAGGGGGAAAGGAAACAACTCCAGACGACAGCCACGACCTGGATTTCAGTGGGAACGGCACTTCCTTGGCACATCCCCCAGCCTGGCGCACAGGGGAGTTAATTTGGGTGATGCTCACCCTTTTCTCCACGTCTACTATTTTGTAGGGTGGCTCCTTATAAAAATCAACGATTCCCACTTGTTTCCAGGGATTGGATTCCCAGCCAGGGAGCTTTGGATACACAGCTGGGCCCGGGGGCTCCTTCCCCTTGTCCCATCTGCAGTGTCCCATCCCACCAGGATCCGAGTGTCACATCCCAACACAATCCATGTGTCCCATCCCACTGGGAGCTCCACGTCCCATCCCAGGGGGAAGGAGCTGACACCTGGGAGGATCTCAGGGCAGCAACACTCGGGGAGATGGAGGAGGAGGAAGGTGATGGGCCCTGGAGGGGGAAAACTGGGAAGAAACAACCACAAGGAAAATTTTGGCAAGGATAAGAGGCCACCTCCTGCTTGAGACCATTCCTCAGGCTTTCCAAGGAGGGACCAGCCCCAAATGGGTTCAGGATTTACCCAATTAACCATTTCCCCTTAAAAAAACCCCAGACCCTCCTTGAGACCATTCCTCAGGCTTTTCAAGGGGGGACCAGCCCCAAATGGGTTCAGGATTTACCCCATTAACCATTTCTCATCAAAACCAACCCAGACCCTCCTAGAGACCATTCCTTGGGCTTTGCAAGGAGGGACCAGCCCCAAATGGGTTCAGGATTCCATTTCCCCTTAAAAACAACCCAGACCCTCCTTGAGACAATTCCTCGGGCTTTCCAAGGGGGGACCAGCCCCAAATGGGTTCAGGATTTACCCAGTTAACCAAAATAACCGACCAGCAGAGCCAGGCACCGCCACAGACCCCAAACCCACCCACCCCAGAGCACGACCCGGCTCGGGGGCACCGCGCCAGCCGGGGACAGAGGGACAAACATCCCTCCGGACACCGGGAGGGGGCAGAGGAGAGGGGGACAATCACCCCGGCGGCCCCGGGGCTCGGGAGCCCGCGTGGAACCGGCGCGTTCATCTTTTATTCCAGCCTTTATTCCAGCCGGCTCCCTCCCTGACCGCGGTGCCAACCCTCAGGCACCGCGAACGCGCGATTGGAAAACAATGTGACGGAAATGTTTAATCTGCTCAGCCCATCTGTGCCGCGTATTTCTCCAGATCTCCCCGAGAGAGGCGCCTTCCGAATCTCCACATTGCCTTTAATATTCTCCTAAATCACCTCCCCACCGCACTTCAAGGGCCATTGCTACAATATCACAGGTTCATCGAGAGTGCACGGCAGAAGGGGAGGGGGGGGGACGTGCGGGGAGGGAGGGCTGGAAGGTGCGGGCTGGGGGATTTTTTTATTTTAAAGTCTTTCCCGGGGCCGGTGTCCCTGTGCCCCCCCCCTCGGACAGGAGAGAGAGGAGATAAAATAAAATAATCAGGGGAGGAGAGAGGGGGGGAAAAAAATTCCAAGGGAAGTTGTCGTGGCGTCGCCGGCGATTAGAGGGGCTGTTTGGAAGCAAACAGGCTGGAATGGGGCGAAAATCATTCCCAAAGAATCGCTTTTATCGAGCTCCTTCCTCTCCTCCCTCCGGAGGGTTCTGTCCCGCTCCGAGCTCCACGTGGAAAATGGGTGTGGATGCTCAGATGCCCCAAAACAACATCAGCACAGGGTGGGCACAGCACTCCTGGGTGCCCCCAGCCTGGCACAGCCGAGATGCTCCAGCTCAGGTGCCTCCCCCCCCTCCCTGCCCCAGTTTCCCCATCCCACCAAAGCCAAGGGGGGAGAAAAGGAAAATGAGGACAGATTTGTCAGCAGGGCCTGAGAGGAACAAGGGGCAATGGTTTTAAGAGGAAAAATGGGAGATTCAGACTAGATAGAAGGGATAAATTCTTCCCTGGGAGGGTGGGGAGGGGCTGGGATGGATTTCCCAGAGAAGCTGTGGCTGCCCCATCCCTGGAAGTGTCCAAGGCCAGGTTGGAGCAACCTGGGCTGGTGGAAGGTGTCCCTGCCCATGGCAGGGGGTGGCACTGGACGGGCTTGAAGGTCCCTTCCAACCCAAATGTGATTCCAGGGTTGATTCCAGGACTGATTCCGGGATTCTGTCTCCACTGCCGCTGCACCCTCCCCGGGGTTCTGGGTGCTGTCACCCCACATCACCCCACAGCCCTCCACGGGGTCCGGGGGATGCGCTGGGTCTGGGGGTGCAGGGGCTCCAGGGATGCTCAGGGTGCAGGGGGGACCCGGGGATGCAGGGATATGAAGGGTGTTGGGAGGATGCCTGGGATCCAGGGATGAACAAGATCCAGGGATAAGCAGTGTCCAGGGATGAGTAGGATCCAGGGATGCAGGGGGTGCAGGGAGGGGTCTGGGGGTGCAGGAGGGTCTGGGGGTGCCGGGGGGGTGCCCGGGGGTCCATGGCTGCGCGGGGCACAGGGCAGGCGGGGATGGGGAGGGGGCTGCTCGGCGGGCGGGCGGTCCCGCATCCCCCGCGTTGCCATGGCAGCCGCTCCCGGCTTCGCTTCCTGCATCCCCGGGGGCCGCGCAGCCGGATCCACCTGCTCCTCCCGACCCTCCGCGGGGTCATCGCCAGGTCGGCAGAATAAATGAACGCGAGCACTAATGATGTGTTCGCGGCTGTTTATGCTCTCCGTGTGTCAGGGGCACTCACATTTAGAGAGCTCATTATGGCTGCAATTAGGCTGCACCATCGCGAGATATTTAACTCCTTTTTCTTTTAAATTAGCATTTTAATAACGTTGCTTTGAGCGGGGGGAAACAAAATGACCATTTTTCACGGACAAACTTCCTAGCTGTAGGTGCAACTTTAATGGCGAAGTTGCAAGGGAGGTAAAAACCAGCTCGAGCCCGGTCCCTTTCCAGCCGTCCCTGCCCTCGCCGCCACCGGGAAAGGGGGGA